TTTTTCCATCATCGGACTGGTGGAGAAGTAAACTCCATCTCCCTATTAATGGGACGATGTTGATAGTTTCTTTTCGGCTGGATCAGGTTAGCCTCTCCTAGCTGGAGAGTAGTTTGAATGGTGGTGATGAGAGTTCAAAGCAGGGGGTCGAGAGTGGTCGGTTGTGTGAGGGAGGGAACCTCCTATGCCTTCAGAGTGGGATATGTTGCTCTGCACTGGCCGCTCCTTATTAGCAACCGAGTCTCTGTTTTTCAAGGTTTCTTCTTGAGCTGCCAATAAGGCTTTCTTTTCATGCTTTGCTTCAAAACAGTCCCGAATTTTGTGGTCTAGTCTACAGCACTCTTTCATATACTAAGGTTGCAGTAACCTCATCACCATTGGGAAACTCCAAGATGGTCATTTTGATCAGGGGGAGTCTTCCATTTTACATGAGCTCTGATATGCATCGTCAATGGGGTTATCTCGGCAGTTTCGAAGGTGCCTATGTCTTCTCCAATACGGCGAGCTGCTTCTTCAGTCCACAGGTGGATGGGTATACCTTGGATTGTAATCCAAAAGGGTATCATTGATGGGAAGTTTGGGGAGATGGTAGGTTCCCATCGTTGGAGGATAATCATCCATCGGCCATAGTGATAAGGCTGTTTAGCTAAGATAGTGAGGAGATCGGACTCCAACTCGAACTGAAACTGAAACATTCCAGAACCAAGGTCTGAACCAACTGGAGGGGCATCCGCTTTCCAGTGGTCAATAAAGAACGGTATGAGGGACCACACCTTCTGAGTCGAAGGATTTGTTACTCTGCCAATGATAGTGAGAGAGTTCTTTTTCATGAGATCTGAGTTGTCTGGGGAAGAGAGGAGGATTATGGCTGTAGGAGGAGCAGGATGATGCTCCAGCATCACTGCCTTCCCTTTATCATCATAAGATAATATTCTATGCATGATAGTCAGCACAGCAGAACTTGGTTACGGTGATACTAGTGGGTGGTTTTTTCTTTAGCTTCTCTGGAGGAGATGAAAGAAGTTCCAACGGTTTTGCAGTGAGATATTTTTAGAGTTGAAAATTCCAATAGATAGTGGTGAGATTATTGGAGATAAACAATCTCTTAGAACCTAAGGACCAGCAGTCCAAAGGTTTTATCAATACAATTCTGCCAAGGAAAGGTAGGGGATGAATTTAGTTGTCTTCATTCTGGACTCTTCTGGTGAAGCCTCCGGCGAGTTTTTGCGGCACCGGCGGTCCCTCCGACCCGGGTCGGGGGAAGAACCCGGGGTGTAAAAGCACAGAGCATTGATCGATCGGTGGATACTTCCAAAAAAAGGAACAATTTGAAACGGGTGTAAGCTTTTGCAATAGATCTAATCCAAAACAGGAAAAGAAACTCGCGGATAAAGGTGAGCTTAAAAAAAAAAGAGGTGGTTAATATTCTTTCTCAGTTATCGTGTCTGAGAGAAAAAAAAAAGTGAGAAAGTTACAGAAAATCCTATAAGAGCATGTCCAATGTGAAATTTCCAATAGATATATGAAAAAATAAAAATAAGTAATAAACGGATTCTCAAACAAGATTTCACTAGATAATCATTAGGAACGTTTTTTTCACACCTATAGTGCATTGTTCATTTATTCTCTAGAACCCCACCAAAAAACACTGCATATATAATATTTTTACATGTGTTATTAAGAAATCCTAAGCAGCTGATCGTATAGACTAACATTGCCATTGTAATAGCCTCTAAAATACCTCTTTTCCGCCTTGAGATAATCTCCTAGCATATACCGACATCGTAACATAATTGAATCCCAGTAATTAATCCAGCATGTTCAACTCTATTGAGTAAATTGAGTAAGGTCTTTTCTACATAAATAGAAAGCGAGAAAGTGGATCCTCCAATCTTAATATTTTTACAATTAAGCCATGCCTATACCCATTAATCAAAACTGTATTAAACTTGATAAAATACAGAACTCACTTTTTTGGCCAATGCCCAAAGCTTTAAAACAATGCATGTATAGCTTCACTAGACCCTGTTATACACTTCGAATATGAAATGAGCTGAATCCTGACTCTGATAGAAGGTTTCTCATACTTCGATTTTTCCAGTTGGTCTTTTAGTTTTAATTTCTAACATTTATTGTCCTAATCAGATCCAAAAGATAATTGTGTTTTCCAATATCACTTTGCTTATGACATTAAATCTTGAAATATGAGCCTTGCGGGATTAGAGTTACAGCGGTTTTAGAATCCTGTCATCTTCCAAGTATAAACTCGTAAAATCCTTATCAATTTGTTTCTTCTATATTGCTTCAGTTTTCTCTCATTATTTATACATTCCTCTTTTTCTTGTGATGATTGCCAAACGACCCTCTGTATCGCTTCTTGATCGCGCGAATTCATTCATCACGACAGTTTATATCGTTAGTTGCCAACAAACACAAGATTTTATCAAATATCAAGCCTAGTGAGAAACATATCAAAACTAATGAAACGTATCATTCTTGATCAGAAGTGCCTTTAACCCCTTGAATATCAGAATAGGTTGCATCAAATATATCAAGAGGAGAGTAACCACTATATTCAAATTCAGTTCGGCATCGAACAAAGATTAAAAAGAGATTGTCTGGTACTGTTTATAAAAGTTAATTGTGTCAATTATTAACCATGCACATATGGGTATCTACGCGACTATGCATGCATAACAATTAATTTTGGCCCAAAAAACATATCAATAAAATTTTGAAATAATATTTCACTAGATCATGATCCGCGCGGATGCGCAGGTTTTTTTTTGATGTACTTTATATAATTTAGTTTTATATAGTTTCGAGTTTGTCCGATTTCATTTTATGTTTAAAGAAAAATAGCATCAAACAGTGTATTATGTAGATGTAATCGTGCAGTGAAAACACTATTCAGTACGTTTGCTCGAAGTGCAAAATCAAATTCAAAGTTAACTGTTTGTATTAAGAAAATAAGTTGATAATTTAATTACTTCTCATGTTAATAATTATCTAAAGTTTTTAAAATAATATACATATTTCTAGAATTTTTGGCATTAAATTTAACTTTGTAGGTTAGGTTAAATTCAACCTTAACTTTGGTCTAAACTTTGCAAGCACGTATATTTTATGATGAAAAATTTCATAAATAACTTAACAAATATTTTGGTAATTTGAAACAATATATGTGTTTAAAATATTTTTTCATTTAAACAAATATTTTTAAACTAGCCCGGACTGTGGTTAAACCGATGATCTGATAATTCACTTTTTAATTTTTAAAAATATCTATATTTAAATAATCACTAAAACCCGAGACTATCCGATTAAACCGATGAATAACTGATATGTAATATTTAAACCTATATAAATAAGTTTATTTTCATTGTTTTATATATTATTTGAATCTTTTGAATTTATCTAAATAATTTGAAAGAAAATTATGAAAAATATTTAAAAAAAAACGTGAGATCTAATATTTTGTATTGTTTGGACTATGATTTTGCGGTTTTGGCGGTTTTGCGGTTTTGGCGGGAAAACATGATTTTGCGGTTTTGGTGGGAAAACGTGATTTTGTGGTTTTGGCGGGTAAACGTGATTTTGTGGTTTTGGCAGAAAAACGTGATTTTGTGGATTTGGCGGGAAAACGTGATTTTGAGGTTTTGGCAGGAAAACGTGATTTTGCGGTTTTGGCGGGAAAATGTAATTTTGTGGTTTTGGCGGGAAAACGTGGTTTTGTGGTTTTGGCGGGAAAACATGGTTTTGTGGTTTTGGCCGGAAAACGTGATGGGTGAGTATAACTGAACAATTTTAATTTGGAGTTAATGAGTTTGTTTTTAATTTTTGATTTTACTTAAAAACTAAATGGGTGAGGGTGGACCCAACCCAATAGATCCATTAACTTGTTAACCCATTAACTTGTTAACCTATTAACTTGTTAACCCATTAATTTGTTAACCCATTAACCTGTTAATCCATTAACCCATTGGGTCAAAAATAAACAGTTCATTTGAGTTAACGGGTCAATTTAGGTTGGGTCAACCCATGGGTCATGACCCATTTTGACACCCCTATTTGGACATATGATTAATGATAGTGTTGTTATGAAGAACTAAATATATTGTTTGGAAACATAGATAGTAATATAAAATATATATATATATATATATATATATATATATTATTTGGAAACATGGATAGTATTATAAAGAAAAGGATATTAGTAATTTAATATAGGTTTAACTATAAAATAGAAAGATGTATTTAATTTAAAAACCTGCAAAATAAATGTTACGTCGAGCCTAATATATTTGTTTTAATAAGATAGATGAAAGCAATCATGTTTGTATATATATAATTATGTCATTATTTAAAAGATATATATATATATATGTATTGGTAAAAAAACTTATATTTATGAGATTAAATAAATTATATATTTAAAACATGGCCCGAACCAGAATAATAAAAACTTATTTTGTTTTTGAAACTAAAGTAAACTTTTGTTTATTAAGTAAAAAAATGTTTATTCAGAAGAGATCACTATTTTCACAAATGAAATCATTTAGTAAAAAATAAAAGGAAACAAAACTAAGAAAAAAATCTCTTGGATGTGAATAACAACGTGACTTTTGTTTTCAAAAAGTATTTGTTAAGAAGAAATCACGATTTACACAAATTAAACTTGGTAAAAAAAAATAAAAAGATGAAAGAAAAGGAAACCGTAACAAATTGCAGCAGAGTAAAACAAGAAAACAAGATGTGATAACGATTATCTTATAGATAGTGAAGATTTTGATGTTATTTCTTTGTAAAAAAGTTAAAACGTTAACAAAAGATAAATAATCATAATCCTACTAGAAATGAGTTTCAAAACCAATTTCATATTGGTTCATGATAGGGTAAGATGACTATAAATAAAGACGATGGTTGATCACAAACCTCAAAAAACACTTCCCAAAGAGCTTCTAAACCCAAATACACTATAAGAGACGTAAGAGAAGATGTATGAATACAACGACATGTATGAATACAACGACGAAGATGGAGGGATTCAGTTTCAACCCTACGACGACGAACTCATCGACGAATACTTAATCCCCAAACTGGAAGGTAAACCACGTAGAGAAATCACTACGAAAGATGTTTACTCGAAGGAGCCATGGTTGCTGGACCATCCCATGGGCTCGTTTTTCAAGAAGAACGAGTGGTACTACTTTGTGACAAGGACTCAACTCTCCAAGAAAAGCATTGGCTGTGGTAAGAAAGCGAAACGAAAGATTACCCGAGACGACGAAAGTGGGTTTTGGAGAGCTAATGCGAAAAAAGATATCCCGGACAAGGATAAAAAGATGGTCGTTGGTAAAAAGCAAACCTTAGCTTTTGTTAAAAATAACAAGAAGAAGCAGAAGAGTGGAGACGGTACTTCTTGTGATGTTGTTGAGCCAGGTAGCGAGAGTAGCTGGATTATGACAGAGTATATGGTTTCGGAAATAGAAGGTAAGTTTCGTGAATTGGTCATATGCAAGATTCATGTGATCGAGAATTCCAATAAGAAGAAGGGTCAAGATGATCGTCATGAAGCTTCTACTTCTAGTTATCATCATCATCACCATATTGACCCTTCTACCTCGGAACAGCAGCCGATGGGTTTCTATGATCACCATATTGACCCTTCTACCACCCAGCAGCAGCCGATCAATAGCGTTGATCATGGAACTTCTGTAGCTCCTTACTTGGAGCAGCAGCCGATGGGTTTGTATCCTCAACATATTGTCCCTTCTACCACGGTGCAGCAGCCAAACAATATTGTTGATCATGGAACTTCTGTAGCTCCTTACTTGGAGCAGCAGCCTGTGGGTTTGTATCCTCACCATATTGTCCCTTCTACCACGGCACAGCAGCCAAACAATATTGTTGATCATGGAACTTTTCTAGCTCCTTACTTGGAGCAGCAGCCGATGGGTTTTTATCATCACCATATTGACTATTCTACTTTGGAGCAGCAGTCAAACAATATTGTTGATCCTGGAACTTTTGTTGCTCCTTACTTGGACCAGCAACTGATGGGTTTTTATCATCCCCATATTGACTATTCTACCTTGGAGCAGCAGCCAAACAATATTGTTAATCATGGAACTTTTGTTGCTCCTTACTTGGACCAGCAGCTGATGGGGTTTTATCATCACCATATTGACTATTCTACCTTGGAGCAGCAGCCAAACAATATTGTTGATCATGGAACTTTTCTAGCTCCTTACTTGGAGCAGCAGCCGATGAATTTGTATCATGAGTCTTTTCTAGATTTATATTCCTTGGAGCAGCAGCCTACTAATATTATTCAATTGAATAAAAAGGACGATCATGAAGCTTATATTCCTCATCATGATCATGAGTCTCTTGCCGATTCCTTCACAAAGCAACAGCCGGTTAATGAAGACCATGGCCATGTTCCAGAGATTCCACTCATAGGATCAGAAAAGAATGATCAAGTGTTTGAAGCTTCACGTCAAGTATCGGAAAAAGATGAACAGATTTACATTGATGCTCCTCTTGAAGGAGGAGGAGAATAGTTCCAATGATTTATAAGCTTGATCAGTATGCTACTCTCCGCCCCCAAGAAAGTTCTAAACTCTAGAAATGTGAGCATTGATCAAGATTTTAGATATTTTAGTGTAAAATAGCTTTGGGTTGAATAGGATCTTGGAAGACACTTCATTTCAATTATCCAGTTGTTGTATGCTTATTTTTCATTATATAAAAATACACATTCTTCTTATATTTATACTTCGGTTGGTTGTGTCATCATCTATACTACTATTTGCGAAGTGATTTTTCACAACGGAGCTCTCACGTTAAAAGTTGGAGTGGTTAATATCGTTTATACCCTTAATGAAAATAATATATAAATCAGCCAAAAATAAAAACGAATTTACACTTTAATTGATTAGATAAATCATTTAAATCAATAATAATGATAAAAATTATCCATAATCTAAATATATATTTAAAAATAAAAAGAGATAATTCCTACATATATTGTGTTGTTATCCGGAAAATATATTTTAATAAAAAAATTCAAAAACAGAAAATACATAAATAAATATTCATAAATTAAAACTTTTAATTGTCTATAATTGAAAAAACAAAACTGAAAAAATATAATACGTAATTATATTTTTAATTGTATATAATGGAAAAAATAAAATAGAAAAAAATATAAATCGTAATTATTTTCAAATTAAAAGAATGTAATAATATAATATAATATAATGATTAATTTTTTATATAATTAAATCTTAAATATGCATTAATAATAAAAAATAAAAATCATTAAAAAGAAAAAAATACGTGTTTGACAAAAATAAATTTAAATATATTGTATTATTATCCAAACTAACACATAAATAAATATTCATAAAGTAAAATTTTTAATTGTATATAACTGAAAACAAAAATTGAAAAAGTATAATATGTAATTAATTTCAAATTAAAAGAATGTAATAATATAATATAATGATTAATTTTAATATATATAATTAAATATTAAACATACATTAATAATAATAAAATAAAAAGAAAGAAAATACGTGTTTGACAAAAATAAATTTAAATATATTGTATTATTATTCAAACTAATATTATTCTTTCTGTAATTTCAATTTTTGAATGTATATTTATCGATTCAATTTTTTAAATTGAAAGATAGATATTTATATTTTTATCAATTAAGAAGAAATGAAATAGACTTTATATTATTCAAAGTTTTGAAGGAAAAAAAGTTTTTTTTCTAATTCGGGAATAACTTTATCGTGTAAAAATATTTAATGTTTTAGGTCAAATGTTTTGGATGCAAATGGAAATATTTATACACAGTTAGAAGAAAACAATATTTTTTTTATCTCATGGGCTCTAATCTGCTGATATTGTTCCTTACAAACTCCCACTACCAAGCCCAACAAAGAAACTCCGGCTCTCCACCTTCCATATTTGCTCGTGCTTTTATCGACAAAACTCTTCTCTCTTTAACGCCCTTTGTGCTTTCAAATACATTTTTTAATATTTATTTTCAAAATTCATTCCGAAAAAACAAAAAAGAAACAATTCTTTCATAACCACCACCATTTCTTATCCTTTTATATTTTTCGTCTCCCGAGAACCACCACCCATTTCTTAACCACCGCCCATTTTCCCTTGAGATTTTCTTCCCCCTCTTTCTTAAAATGGCCTTACAATTGACTGAGGGATTCGTTATGAAGGTACATAATCGAGAAGTGATGAGCGACATGCAATGACCCCTATTTGCGAAGTGCTTAGGGTATGGAGTATTGTTAACTCGAGTACTGGTAACGGGAGTATTTGTTTGACTTTATCCGACGGGAAAAAATTAGTACGTGCAGTTCTCTGCCGTTGGGTGAAGAAAGAGATACGTGCTAGTAGCATTGTCAAGCTCAACAAATTCACCACTGCACCATTCAAGGATCAATGGTAAAAAAAAATTTTTTTGATAAAGGGCTTTCTATTTAAATTGAGTTAAGATTTTGAAGATCATAAAGTTATTGAAAGTAGTCTGAGAGATGAAACTTACTTATACAAAAGCTAGTGATGAATAGGTCATGGCTGTTTCAAAGACTAGGCCGTGGCTGTCTTTTGCTCATGTTTTGAAGTGAAGTGAAGGCGACTGGTAGAAGTGGTGGTTGTTTTGGTCATGTTTTAAACAATGAAATAATGGTTGTTTATGTTATTTCTGATTCTAATGGTTTGCTTGTGTTTCTAATGTTTTAGGTACTTTGCTTTTAGTCTTGATTTAAAAACAAGAACATATAAAAAATAAAAATATAAAATATAAAAATAAATAGTAGGTAAGGGTTGTTAAATTTTATTAAAAACTATTGTAGAGTGTAAATAATGAATGAATGTTGAATTATTGAGTGAAAGGGAGAGAAAATATTATGTGGAAGAAAGAGAAGATAATGTCGAGGGTGTAGTATGTTGAATTTTATTAAACAAAAGTAAAAAAAAATGAATGGGTGTTGAATTATTAAGTTGAAGAGGGAGAACATAATGTGAAAGAAGGAGAAGATGAGAGTGTGTTGTGTGTTGAAACCATAAAAACGATGTGACTATCAACTACCCATATGTATCTCATCTAAAATTTTATAAACATTATATCAAATTATTATTAAACATTTAAGAAGCATTGAAAATTACAGAATGCAACAATATACTTTTATCTAAAATGCTATATAGTATCCACTTATTTATTTAAATATAACTTATTCATCCAATAATTCTAAAATCAGTTGATATGGAATAAAGCAAAATTAATATATCTTTAGAAAATATTTTCTCTTTAAAATGGCAAGAAAATAGTTTTAAATCTAGAGAACATATTAAATACATATTACCAGCCAAATTATATTTCAATTGTTAGATCGCAACACAAAAATAAAATGTTGAAAACTGGCGCGTAGCACCGGAACACCCCTAGTGTTGATAATAAAGGTGATAGATCTTCAATTGCTTTGAGGTCCCTCTCATTCAATTTTTTTTTATAATTAATATTTTTTCATAAATTTTCATGTTGTTCTTCTCAAAATTTTTTTTTTTTGAAACACACTTCTCATATATGTTAAATGGAAATATTTATACACAGTTAGAAGAAAACAATATTTTTTTTATCTCATGGGCTTTAATATGCTAATATTGTTCCTTACAAACTCCCACTACCAAGCCCAACAAAGAAACTCCCACTCTCAACCTTCAATATTTTCTTGCGCTTTTATCGACAAAACCCTTCTCTCTTAAACACCCTTTGTGCTTATACAAAAGCTAGTGATGAGTAGGCCATGGCTGTTTCAAGGACTAGGCCGTGGATGTCTTTTGCTCATGTTTTGAACTTCAAAATTTGAAGTGAAGTGAAGGCGACTGGTAGAAGTGGTGGTTGTTTTGGTCATGTTTTGAACAATGAACTAATGGTTGTTTATGTTGTTTCTGATTCTAATGGTTTGCTTGTGTTTTTAATGTTTTAGGTACTTTGCTTTTAGTCTTGGTTTAAAAACAAGAACATATAACAAAATATAAAATATAAAAATAAATAGTAGGTAAAGGTTGTTAAATTTTATTAAAAGCCTATTGTAGAGTGTAAAAAATGAATGAATGTTGAATTATTGAGTGAAAGAGAGAGAAAATATTATGTGGAAGAAAGAGAAGATAATGTGGAGAGTGTAGTATGTTGAACTTTATTAAACAAAAGTATAAAAATGAATGGATGTTGAATTATTAAGTTGAAGAGGGAGAAAATAATGTGAAAGAAAGAGAAGATGATGTGGAGTGTGTTGTGTGTTAAAACCATAAAAGCAATGTGACTATCAACAACCCATATATATCTCATTTAAAGTTTTATAAACATTATATCAAATTATTATTAAACATTTAAGAAGCATTGAAAATTACAGAATGCAACAACATACTTTTATCTAAAATGCTATATATTATCCACTTATTTATTTAAATATAACATATTCATCCAGTAATTCTTAAATCAGTTGATATGGAATAAAGAAAAATTAATATATCTTTAGAAAATATTTTTTCTTTAGAATGGCAAGAAAATAGTTTTAAATCTATAGAACATATTAAATACATATTACCAGCCAAATTATATTTCATTTGTTATATAAGCCTCAGATAGAGTGTCCACATGGGACAAAATAATCAGTCAATACAAATATTTCATTTTGCCATGTCATCGCAGTTAACTTAAAATGAAAAAAAATTGGGCTTACTCAAATTGTTATGTGGTACATGTCCATCTAATTCAAATACGTCCAATAAAGCTAAAGTCCATACCTTCTCCAGTTCTTCTCTCCCTCTTTAATTCGTCGGTTTCTGCCAAAGAAAATCGATCGACGACATATAATTATTATAATTATTATTTTCGGAGTGATGGATGATTCTGCATATACGAAATCATTGATAAAGATGTTTTTCCCCAGCATACAACCACAACGAATTGTTTTGTACATATTCTTTTAAATCTTTAGTAAAGTTGTATCCTATAATTAATTTGCAAGAATTTTTATTCTCTGAGAAACGTTTCCAGATCTGATGTAAACATCTTTAACTTTGACTATGCAAATGGTGCTTTCTTGAGCTGGCAAAAAAATCAAACTTGAAAAACCAAACCAAATCCGGTCCAAAAAAGTAGTATCAAATCTGAATCGAAATTGGTTAAATATCTGAACGGGTTCAAAATTTTGGTATTTAGAATACTGAACCAGATCTAAGCTGAAATACTTCGGGTATCTAAATAAATCCGAATCAGGTTTATGTAGTTGAATATATTAGTTATTTTTAGATTTAATATAGAAAAAGTATTAAAACGTATAAGAAATTTTGAGGTTGTCCAAATATATTTAAAAATATATAAAAATAGTCAAAAGTAAATATTTAAAATAGTTAAACAATACTCAAAACACCGTCAATACTTAAAAAAAAATCTTTTGATTCTCCATCCAAATATTCAAATTAAACCAAATTTTATGTTAAGTTAAGGTATTTTGGAATACAT